CCCGGCCCCCCCCGCTCCGGCCTACTCCCTCCAGCTCCCCCCCGTCCCGTCCGGAAGCTCCCTCGGTGCGCATTTTCTCTCCCCTCTTCTCCCCTCTCCCTCTCATCCCTCCCAAGGCCCCCGCTCCGCCCCGGACGACTCTGACCAGGATCCCGACACCAACGAGCCTCCAAAGAAGAAGCGCCGCAGACAGGCCCTCAGCTGCACCGGTCCGTCTCCCTTTCCTCTCCTTCCCCCTGCTCACCCAATTCACGTTTCTCTCCTCGCCATTCCCCAGAGTGCAAGCGGCGCAAGATCAAATGTGATAGGTCCGGTCCCTATTTCATATCAACCCCCCCCTCCGACATCTGATTCCATCTTTCGCACTTAGAGCTCAACCATGCGGCCCCTGCGTAAGGCGCGGAGAACACCACAAGTGTCAGTGGCACATCATCGAACCAATGTAAGTTCCGTCCTCCCCCCCCTCCCCTTTTGGCCCTATTGCCGATACCGGCACCCAAGGGAGAAATATGTCACCCGCACCGAGTATGACGAGCTCAAGGCAAAGGTCCTCGACCTCGAATCCCTCGTCCACCGCCTCGCCCCCCCGCCCCGTCTCCCCCTCCCCTCTCCTTCCCTCGACCCCGTCCAAGGCACAGTCATAACTCCTTACCACCCCCCACACCCTCCCCTAGGCCCCCACCCGTACTACAACATGACCCCGGCCTTTGCCTCTGCCTCTTCCCGCCCGGACCCATCCGCGCCCCATCCTCGGCCCCCCAAACTAATCGCCCCCCGCAGCCCCACTTCTTCGCGTCCATCCACCTCTTCCGGCCATCCTACATCCATGTCCATGCCCCTCTCGCCCCTCGAACAGGGTCATTTCACCTACTCTCCACCAGCCCCGGCCTCCATCCCTTCTTCGTCCGAGCAGCAGCAGCCGCCGCCGCCGCCAATACCCCCGACCTCGCGCCGTGCCTCGCTCTCCATCGCTGCCATCATGGCCCCGAATGTGCCCCCGCACCGCTCCCCTCCCGCGCCGCCGCACCGCGCCCCGAGCCCGTCAAAAAAATGCACCGCGCAGACGCCTCCCCCGCCGGGCCAGCGTCTGCGCAGGGAGCTCCCAACACGCTCAGGCCCGGCCCCGGCGCTGCCCCCGCCGCATCATCGTCACCACCTTCCGCCTCACCGCCCCACCCCCGCCGCCGGTCGACCCTGTCCGCTGCCGATTTCAGTCTAACGCGCTCCTCCGCCCACCTGCCCCTGCCTCCGCACTCTTACCCCGGCCTCCCCGATCCTACGCGGCGTCCGAGCGAGAGTACGCCGCCCGGAGGCGCAGCTCCCGAGCAGCGCGGCCGTGAGCGGCCCCGCGCCCGGTCGCACTCGCGCTCGTCCAGGGCTTGACAACAATGTTGCGGCGCATTCCCGCCGCACCCCTTCTGCTTCCGCTTCTCCGACCCGATTCGGGCCCGTGCTGTGCCACCGCACGTCTTACGCATACGCCTCAGGTTAATCGCCGTTGTATTCCTGGTCTCCACGCGTCCTTGTTTCTGCTATCATTCTTACCCAGTCCCGCCCACGCCATGATGACTCACGTCCTCCGTTACGAAGTGTCTCGCTAATTAAATGCTTATCGTTACTGTACTCGTATCCACCAGGCCGCATGCTGTTTGTTGTTATACCCCGACGACCCTGCACGGGTTGCCCATCTCGTCTCATCCATCGCATCCGCATCGCATAACGTACATATCCGGAGCAGGCACAGTGCTTATTTATAATGGCGACGCTCTGTAGTAGTAATCGTTGACGTAGCGTTTCACCGCCGCTCGCTCCTCCCGCGCGACAATTGAACAACGAGTGCCTCAGCTGGCGTCGTGGTGTGCACTCGACAAAAGCAGTCAGCCAGCCAGCCAGCCAGCCGCACATCCATCCATCCATCCATCCATCCATCGCATCGCATCGCATCACATCACATCCCATCGCGGGTGCCGCATCGCCCTGGCGTGTCTCAGCTGCCCGGCACATCCGTGGGGGCACGCGAGTCTGCAAGCAGCAAGGAGTTTTATTCGATGGCGTCTCGAGGCGCGCAACAGCACAGGGGCGAGCACGTAGTACACACTGCAGACGCACGCACGCACGCACGCATACATGCCACCACCACCATCATCATCATCATCGCCGCCATCATATCACGCAGGACGGGCTCACACCGGGCTGCGCGTGTTTCGCGCACCCGCGCGCGCCCCGACTGCAGGGCGGCAGCCGCCTGGCGAGCGAGCGAGCGAGCGGCGGCGGTGGCAGCAGACACGGCACAGCATCGCGGGGCCGCACGGGCGACGCGCGCATGCGGCCCCGCGGGCTGGTGGCAGACGTGACAGACGGGCGACAATACGGACAGCGGACAGGCGGACGGGCAGGCGGACGGACGGACAGACAGACGGACAGACAGACAGACGAGGGGAAGGGGCTCCAAGATCTCGGCGGGCAGCAGCGGGACACGGTGGCGGTGCGGTCGGTCGTCTGACGGGGCCACCATCAGGGCGCGCGCGCTAAAACACGGTGACGCCGGACTGGGTGCCCGTGTACTGCGAGCGCATGTCGTCGAGGTCCGCGTCGTCCTGGCTCTTGTAGTCGTACTGCGACAGGCTGCCCAGGTCGGACGCGCCCGCGGTCGAGGAGAAGGACGTGCGGCGGCGCAGGCGGTCGGACTGCGAGTACGCCATGCTGCTCGTGGCCCGGTCGGAGGGCCCGAGCGCGCTCCCGACCACGCTCGCGCTGTCGGTGCCTCCGGGCCCTGCGTCCTGAGAAATGATGGAGCTGGCGTAGCTGCCATACGTGCTGCGTTTGCCGCCGCTGGGCCGCTGGGCACTCCCCGGACCGAACGGCCCATTGGCGGCGAACACGGGCAGCCCGGACGAGTACGTGGCCTGAGAGCGCAGCGACTGCACGTCCGAGGGAATGTATCCGAGCGCATCGTGGGTGCGGTAGAAGCTGGCATCAAAACGGCTGGGCGTGCCGGATCGGCGACCTGTTGCGAACCATCAGCTTACATACGTCAACGCAGCAGCAAGGAGGATTTAGACGTACCATCACCCGACAGACCGCTGCCCAAATAATCACGCGCGTTGGTCTCGTGTCGACGGAACTGATCCATCGCCTTCACGAGAGTGCGTCTTGGCTTACTAAATTGGATCATGCTGGGCTGCAGGTTACTCAGAGGCCCCTCAACAAGGCAGTTCTTCTCCTTGTAGTGCGTCAGGAGATAGTGCCAAAGGGGATGCTGCAGCATGGATCATTCAGCTCGGAATGTCCACCGCCGATGTGACACACGGGGCCCACCTTACTGAGAACCTTTGGGTTCCCTAGAATCACCACGCCGTATTTTGCACGAGTGAGCGCCACGTTCAAACGCCGCGGGTCGTTCAAGAATCCAATCCCCTGGTGCTCGTTGCTGCGAACACAACTGAGGATGATGTAATCCTTCTCCCGTCCTTGAAAGGCGTCTACGCTAGCCACCTCGATCTCCTTATACAGGTCCTTCTTGAGCGATCCGTTGAACTGCATGTAGTTCACGATGTACGACCGTTGACCCTCATACGGAGTAACCACTCCGATCTGGCTCGGCACCACACCGGATTTAAAGAACTTGGTGACGATCTTCTCGACGTTAGATGCCTCCGTCCTAGCGGGCAGACGTCACCAATAGACTAAAATACGTAAAAGCCATAATAACATACCTATTTAGGAAGGACGTGCCGCTCGAAGAAATCTCTTCCTGACCTAAATTCTGATAGAAGAACATGGGTGTGTCAGGAACAGGCCACGGGAAGTCGACATTCTTCCGCAGCCGCTCAGGAGCGGTAACTCCGTTCTGGAGAGTGCCTTCGTAGAACATGTTCGATGGAAACTCCGATAAGCATGGGTGCATGCGATATTGAACCTGCAGTCGAATAGGACGATTGCCGAGCACAACGAGGCGCTCGAACAGCGATTGGGTTAGTCCGGCGCGTGCTGCCTTCTTGTTCATGATTACAGGACCCAATTGCTGCATTGCGCCGACTGCGCATCAGTCATCGCTTCACACCATATCGTTTCGGCACTCACCTGATGATCGCCAACGAGGACCACTTGTTTGCAGCCGAGCACCAACGGAATCATGCATTCTGAATACAAATCTCGTCAGTGCATGAGACTTGACGTGGTGTCAATTCATACCGGGTTCCGCCGCCTGTGTGGCTTCATCGATGAGAACTGTCCGGAACTTGAGCTTGCTGAGGCGTGGGTCACCAGCACCAACACATGTGCAACAGATGACATCGGCAGCGCTGAGAATCTCCTTCTCACACTGCCTGATCAGCGCCTTATACTTTCTCTCGTCGTTCGAGCTAAGCTCTCCTTGCTCGTTCTTGAGTTGAATAAGCTTCTGCAGTTCCACGTGAGTCGTGTAGTTGGCAACTTGTTGATGCAAAGTCAAGAACGACACAGACGAGTCCAGAGCCTCGCGCGATTTGGCAGTGAGGCGCACGACTTTGAGACCAGTCGCATGGATCTTCTCGGTCAGCTGGTCCACGGCCACATTCGAGGGAGCGCAGACGAGTACTTGTCCAGGATTCATCTTCGCCAGATGGTATACCGTCGACGCTGACGTCACAGTCTTGCCTGTACCCGGGGGACCCTGAATTAGACTGATAGGCTTCTGTAAAACGCTCTTGACCGCATACATCTGCGAGTGGTTAAGTTCCGGAAGACCTGGAGCTGAAAAACGCTTCGGCATGTGCGTCCGGAGAACCTGCGGCTCTAGCTCATGTCCCAAAAGCTTATGATACTGGCAAATAGATCTAAACATGAATGGCCGAAGACGAATTCGGAGGCACTCACAATGTACCCACTGACACTCTTTTCATCAACGGCAAATGTCTTCATCGCGAGCTGCATCCTATCAAAACTCGTGGATTTCCACACAAAATCTGCGGTGTAATTGTGTGTGACTTCGGTAGGAACTCCCTCCGATCTCCGCAGTTCCAAGCCAATCTCATCCGAGACATCTAGAATCACAGTGAATGGTCTGCGCGAGAATGGCCTCTATCGCACTTACTATTGGGGATTTTGATAACGTGGCCGTCACCTTCCCAAGGCTTGTGTAATTGGCCAGAATACTTCAGCCTGAGCTCGTCTCCGACAGCCAACCTGACCTCTCCGCTCTCGAGTTTGGGTAAGCAAAACCATGCTACACGCTTCTGATTGAGACCGAGGTCCCAGCGCACGGAAATGTCGGTCTGTGTCTGTGACTCCTTCAAGCGCTTGTCGTAGTCCGCTTCGATCTTTACGAGAGGTCCAAAGATGTTCTGATACTGATATGCGTCCTCATAGCGCAAGAGAATGGATTGCGGCTCGTCGTCCACGCCTGGCTTCTCAAGATCTTCCAAAGTTGCGGTCGAGTTTTCACGCCACAAATCCTCGAGGCGATTAATCTGCTGAAAAGATATCTGACGAGACCTGAGCTGCTCGGTCTCACTGGGAGGTTTGACAAGCCAAGATAAAAATGATCGATCGTCAATAAGAGGGGCCCATAAGGCGGCGTTCCAGGAAATGTCCTTGGAGATCGCAGCACAGGGTTGGCTGAACCATTACAAGTCTCAGTTGAAGTGCAACGTATTACAAATATGATAAACCTCACCGGCAAAGGAGAACTACGACAGTGTCGCTCTTCGCAGGTATGAAACCAAGCATAAATACGTTCTTGCTTCCACAGTTATAGCATTCGGGGATCGTCTCTCCAAGGGGGCTCTCGCTGTGCAAAATAACTTCCTTGTGCTTGGCGCGCACCAAATGATTCACGATATGAGACGCAGAAGTGTTGCCGCGAGAGTTGCAAAACCATTTGGAACAGACGATGCATTTCACGACAGAAGCAGGGGAGTGAATGCCGCAATAGCTATCCGTCAAGTTTATAAATGCTCCAAATGCTTGGAGCCGACTGAGGCGTACCTGCACGCGTGAGGCGGTAAATCGACCTGACTCTCGTCTTTGAGATCGTCTAGGACAGCATCGAAATCTTCGTCGATACCAGCTCTGGCTACTCCCTGTCCGCTTCCTCCATTAGGAGACGAGACATAAGAGCGGTCGTCCGTGAGCGAGAGGCTTTCCAAGTCAACCGGTAAGTGACTATGGCTTGTGGTATTTGCGGTGTATATAGAAGAAGTGTCGTCTACGACGCCTATGCTGCCGTATGAGGATGCAGAGTCGTACTGAAAATTCTCAAACGAGTCCATAGTGCGGGTGAAGTCTGGTGTTGCCTCGAAGGTGGAGGGCTATAGTCAAATAAGGCGGTAGCGGCGGGTCCGCCCTCCAACACCGGCTTACGAGTTGACTCGCGTGCCCCACGTGGGAAGGTCCGACGCGGTTATAATATGCGCGCATTCAAGTCACATCGTTGTGCTTTTTTATAACGTTGTCTCGTATAACGGAATGTCTCTCGCACGAGGCAACGGTCGTCCAGAGCCTGAGGTCATTGTTAACGTATGCGATTTGCATGCTTTCCGTGATTTTATGATCAACCTGAGGTGCATATATCCACAGTTTGCGGATGGCTATGCCTATTCTAAAGGCAAAATGGAGGAAGCCTTTCGAAGCGGGTTTCTAGACAAACCTACCATTAAAGCAGCGAAGGATTCTGGTGCCAACAATGTGAAAAGGGAAGATGTGGACATCCTTGTGAGTAGGAAGACATGGTAACTATCCATGTCTTGTAAAACAAATTTCATCACGACAGGTACACGAACTGGATATATCACGACCTCAAGCAGAGAAGCTCCTCGCGGGAGAAAATGGTGATATTCGCAAAGTTCTCGATACGTGGATTACACCGTAATGCCATTTTACAATGGCTTTTCTGCCCAAGAATACGTATTCGACTCGCTGGAGTCGACGACTTTGTTCAACGTCACAAGAAGGTCCACTTTAGCCGTGGGTGAAGCTTTAAAGCTAGCACCCTTCTTGGGCGTCGGTCGAATCATGGACATTGTTTTGTTCACCGAATGGCCTTCGTGCGCGATGTATTCTCTCGAGCCAGGTTGATGAGGGTTGGCTTGTGCCAATACACCATCACCTGCAGAGCAATGTTCCACCTCCGTTCGCATATGCACGCTCTTGATACCCGTCGGGTGCTTTGCAACTGTCTCCGGAGCTCCCACGAGTTCAGCTTGAGCGAGCCGGAAATCTGTGATACTAGCTTGGGGATTTCTCTCGCCAGTTGACGACAGGAGATTCCAGTCAACCGGCATAGCCAAGCCTCGGTTGTTCTTATTGAGCGAAGACGTCATGCCAGCGAAGCTGGCAACCATATCTTCGTCCGCAGTACGGCCACCAAGGCGCGACCCAGGCCTTGAGTTGCTTCCCTGGTCCTGTAGGACACGTCCCGCTCGAGGTGGAGAGAGGAAGAGAGACTGCAATTGAGACGAACGCGCGTAGACCAAACCTCCGAATCGTTGAGGCCGTTGTTCGATGATGTGTGCGTTGAGAGCATTGTACTTCTTGGCCGCGCGCCTTTCAAGAAACTCCTGGAAATGGTTGGGATTTTCCGACTGCTCCCATAGGGAGATTGGATGTGCGTCCTCTGGTTCCGCTTCGACTTCAGCCTCCACCGCAGCCTCGTCCGTATCTTTACCTCTCTCCCTCATCCTCTGCTGCACTCGAAAGTATTGGCGGAATTCCGGCCTTGCTTCCCTCAGCTCCTCCATGTATCGCGTGCGCTCTGTCTTAGACATGGCATTAATGTTGGGAACAGCCTTGCTCTTCTTCCTCAGCTCCTTCTCCATACCGTCAATGTCCTGCATACCTCTTGTGCCCTGCGCGAACTCCGAGTCTGTTTCCCACTGTAGACCAGCCAGCGGGCCGAGCTTCATCATCCAAGAGCCGGCGTCGACGCGAGGCGTGACTCCAACTTCATCCCACATCTTGATCCACCTATCCTGAGGCTCCGCACTCTTCCACTCCGTCTGCTGTTGTCTCGAATCCACGGTCTTAACAGTTACAGCTGCCCTTCGTCGACGGAGCGGCAACGAACGCTTGAGGCCCCAATTCCCTCGGTGAGCATGGCCGCCATATGAAACATAGACCTGACCAATGTGAGGGTCAAAAGACGCGAACTTAGACTGACGAAGAAGAGCTGCGAACTGAGACGGAGGTGTCGCCATGACCTGGCGGATTAAAGCATTCGCTGCAAGTGAAGTCGGGCGTCTTTATTTAATCGGAGTCTCGGCGTTTTCCGTTGAGAATATAGGTGCGAACGCGAAGGATTTGCTGGTTCCAAACATCCTCGACGTTCAAATTGCTGTCTGTCCTCCGCTCGCCTTATTGGCACGGCCCCTTCACGGATAAGACGGCCCAGACAAACGTTGTAGACGAACTCTCGTGGAGATGTCTCAAAAACAATCTTTGCTGATTGCTTCTCCCTCTGGTTGAGAGGTTAGGACGCAGGATCACCTGGGGATCATCTATATGTTTTGTAGCTTCGCGTTATCTGATGTTCTTGTGAGTCTTTTCGAACAAGATTATATATCCAGTGTCTTTCCTTTCTGTAACCGACGACGAAAAACCTGGTAACATAATGCACCCCGATGTGAACACCGCGTGGTATTGGGTTCGTGACCTTTTTGCTGGCATTGGTGACTTCGCAGGCCTATATTACGGGCGTCGAGAGACTGATGGGTGTGCGTGGAGAGTTAAAGGCGAGGCTGAGGTTGCATTGAATTGATACTGTTTTGTTCTGCATCGTATTGGTCTGGTCGCGGCTAACGTTCTATTCCTTTAGATATCTTCGGAGCTGTTGAGCCTTGTCTGGCTTGCTCAAATACGCTGTATATTAGTATGTTGTATTTACGTGTAGAACAGCGTAGTGAATGCAATGCAATAGAATCATGCGCACGACTTGTCTCGGCCGCGATGGTGATGAGTAGATGCGACGCGACGGATGCAGTGTGGGCGCTAGATGTACGCGAGCGAAAAAAGCCAACGGGAGGCTTAAGGCGCTGGACTCGCGCACACGTCGGTTTGTCTCTCGCTGCAACCCTCCCGTTCCCTGGTCCATCGCGGACGCTGCCCAGCTAGTCTTATAGACGGCCCCAGCCCTTGCATCACGTCTCGTGCACATTGGCTAGCCAGTTACGACCAAAATTGGGTCACCCGCCCACCCTTGCGACGCTCTGACTCTGACACGCATCTGCTAACGGTCATGGAGCGTACCGTGCCCCGTCGAGTATCTGCCCTAGGTGTTCCCTCCCCTACCTTGCCCGAGATGTACCATAGACAGTATCCTACTTCCCGCTCTAATCCTCCCTCTCCTCAAGAAGGGTCCTTTCCCAACGCGTCTCCGTGGTCAAGTCCACGGCTGACACCAGTTCCGACCCCGCCAGCGACACCGATGCCGTTTCCGCCTCTTGTATTTACCTCACCAGCTGGTACACTCTCTCAAGAAGGCGGACCAACAATATGTGGCATGCCATTGAAATATGTCTCGTGAGTCGTTTGCTGTCCGTACTTATGCACTGTCTGATCATACCATCTAGTTTGGTCACCCTTGCGGTCCAGAATGCTGCGTTGTCTATCGTCATGCACTACTCGCGTGTGTCCACGCCAGCATCCGAAGCGTATTCGCCGGCATCCGCAGTCTTGCTCAACGAGCTGCTTAAGGGCACCATCTCGTTTGTCATAGCCTTCCTCAGGATGGCAAGCGCATCTGATGCATCAAATCGCGGGTTTCTCGGCTGGTGGTCGTCGCTGCGGAGATTGTGCAGAGAGATCTTCAGTCCCGACTGCTGGAAGTTGTCAATACCCGCCCTCCTTTATGTTGTACAGAATTCGCTGCAATTCGTAGCTATCGGCAACCTCCCCGTCGCGACTTTCCAGGTCACGTATCAGATGAAGATTCTTACTACTGCTGCCTTTTCCGTCATGCTCCTTCGTAAGAGGCTCAGTTCTACGAAGTGGATGTCGCTTTTCTTTCTTGCTATCGGTGTCGGCATTGTTCAGATCCAATCGAGCAGCACTACCCATATTCCAGCCAGGCAAGAGATGCCAGTGGGCAGTGCGCATGAGTCAGCACCCCTCCATATACACATCATGAGCCCCCTCAAGGGCTTCGGTGCTGTCACAGCAGCATGTTTCACATCGGGCCTTGCTGGTGTTTACTTCGAGATGGTCCTCAAGAACTCAAAAGCTGACCTCTGGGTACGCAACGTTCAGCTATCATTATTCTCCCTCATCCCTGCCATTCTGCCCATCTTCTGGGAGTCATCACCTACGTATTACCGCGATGGTTTCTTTGCCAGTATTCTGCACAATTTTGGGGGCTGGGCATGGGCGACGGTCGCGACCCAGGTCTTGGGAGGACTCATCACTGCAATTGTCATCAAGTATTCAGACAACATTTTGAAGGGTTTTGCGACGAGTCTCTCTATTGTCTTTTCCTTCCTGGCCTCCGTCGCACTTTTTGGCTTCCGGATTACCCCCTCATTCATGATTGGGTCGACCACCGTGCTGGTGGCAACGTGGATGTATAACCAACCACCGGGCAAGGAATTGGTGACCATCACTGGTGTCATTCCCGTTATACCTGGGAAATCGGATAGCGCGTTCACTCCCGCCAGTTCCACCGCACCCATTATTGGCCAATTTTCGTCGCATAAGAAGAATGCCTCGCCCTTCGGTAGCCCTCGTGTTATTGCGTCTGCGTTGGGTCTTGCTGATGAGAAGGCGGAGGATGGTCAGTTTGGCGTGATGTTGGACACACAGCGTTATCTGAGCGCACCCTATGGATCGCCCTACCCGTCCCGAACGCCGTCGCCGATTCCGACGCCACCATACCCCCGATCGCATAACGGTTCACAAACGAACTTGACGACCGGTCGCTGGCAATGAATCTGCTCTAACTACTATATGAATCAGTCTACCTAACGAAACCGACACGATACCCGCGCAGAGACTTTGCAGTCATAGACAATGCCCTTCGTTATGAGATCTATTACAAGCTTAGCGTTGCATGCCGCATATTTGTTTATATTTCGCCCCTGCAGATATGGATTGCATGAAACGTACAGTAGACATACTCTTTGTAATGCATTGCGTTCTTGTTCGCTTTCTACTTGGGTTTTGGAGTGAGTAAGTACATAGATTTGGAGTACCCTAGCATCTCGGTGGATGTTCTCGTCCAATTAAGTCATTTGCTCTTAATCGAGCGCTCGCGTAACAAGTCGTGCACGCCGCAACCTCTTCGGATACAATGTCTATCGACTTGGAATGGGACAAGCTCGATGCTTCGTTAGCATCGTCGCTGGTCAGCGCGCTCAACAGACAACTTTCGGCCACACCGCGCCCCTCATTTATTGGCCCGATTGAGGTCACATCCTTAGAGTTCGGCACTACAAGCCCAGATGTTGAACTGGTCGACCTTCGAGACATTTACCGCGATTTCCTGGAGGACGATGAAGACGTGGATGATACTGCCCGGGATCCTGTGAAAGAGTCACAATGGACTGACGATGATGACGACGACTTTGAGTGGGTATCCCGCAAAGCAGTACGAGGGAAGGGTCTTGAGGAGGAGGTCCCAGCTTATCACCTACTGCCTCCGCATATGCGATATGGACAGGGGACTGCCGCGGATATGTTATCCTCATCGTTGCATTCTCAAAGGGACATATGGAGTCCGGCCTTCAGCAGCTTGGTTGATCTGAGGCCGACGTATCCTTCTCCGTCTCTGTACGCGTCTGCAGCATCATCCCTATCTACATCGGCTCGTCCAAACCCCGTACAACTAAAACTCAGCCCGCAGAACACCCAGCTACCTCTCCAAGATGCCGAAGTTACCCAAGAATCATCCAAGCCCACGGAAGCGAAACCGAATACTCTCAATCACCCCAACTTGCAACTTCACCTGCATATCACCTGGAATTCCAATCTTAGACTCACTCTTACGACATCTCTTCTCATAAACTATCCCTCGCCCATGTTCATGTCCCTTCCCATCAAACTGTCTGTGGCAGGTATCCTCTTCAATGGGGAGGTGGTGGTCGCATATGAGGGCGAGCGTCGACGAGTGCATGTCTGCATTCTGGACGACCTTGACCCATACAGCCCGCTAGCGGGGGACCGACCAAGACGCGACACACCATCATCTGGTGGTACGCCACCGGAACCAGACGAAGACACCCCAGTCTCCGTGATTGGGCAGGCGAGAGCCGGTAAACCGCTACCGATTGGGCAGCGCTTGTTGCCCTCAATATACATCGAAAGCGAGATTGGGCAAGCAGACAAACACGTTCTGAAGAACGTCACGCGGGTAGAGCGGTTTATTCAAGACGTCATCCGGAAAACAGTCGAGGAAGAGCTCGTCTTCCCAAATTTCCATACGCTGGTGTTAGGAGATGTGGCGCAATGAGTGATCTCAAAATGACAGGGTCAACGTACCGATACAACGATGTGATATACAGATTTGATACATGACAACTACCTCACAACAGATTTTTGCTCATGTACGGCCCATCCAGTTCATATCCCAGTCGGCGATAGTAATCTCGGGTGCCAACACCTGTGAAAAGGCATAGGTTGGTGTATAACGGAAGAGTGCCGTCAAGCCGAGACTAACCTGATATGACAGCCAGCTTTACACTGCCATGTTCTTCACGGGCTATTCGTTCTGCTTCTTCCATCAATAACGTCCCGAAGCCCTGGGTGAGACGCGATCAGGAACTCAAATTGGCGTCAAAGTTACTGCTTAGCCTACCTGATGCTGGAATTTTGTCGGATCGCGCCCATGAACTGGTACCGCCGTGCCGTATACATGCAACTCACGAACGATACTGCACCCGCCTTCTGTACCTTCCTTTTTCACCAACTCGGGTCGAAAAGTACCCTCGTCGGAGCATTTTCGCAAACGCAGCAATCCGATGAGAATATCGCGCTCCGGGTCCTCATATGATAGGAATGTCTCCCACCCGCCGTTCGCCGTGTAGTCCCGGCGAAGAAGCTCGACCGACTCAGGACGCACCTTGTGATGAATCTCGTGGATCTGCAGTGAAGGGAACCAAGACCTAGTCAGTTACTCCTGTCCGAGCATGGAGTTCGGACATATATAGACTGGTGACCATGTACGCACTCCGACTTCGCGGAACCGCACATCACGGCATTCTGCACCGAAGTCTCTCATTCGGTTGAGAGCCAATTCGCGGAGATTGCCGGAGTTCTCGCAGCCGCTCGTAACGAGCGGCAGAGGGATGTCTCTGAGTTATCGACGATGTCCGTCGGAATTCAGCGACATCAACTCTCGACCTACGAGGGGGACTGACCGCTGAACACGATACACCCTCGTCCACGGGGGTACGAGCGCCAAAATCCGGGCTACGACGTCCACGAGCACGTTCGGCGTGTAGTTCTTGTAACGTCCCGTTCTCCACAATTCGTACAATCCGGTACCCCTGATCACGAGCGTTGGATAAATCTTCAATCCGTCACTTCTGAATGCCGGGTTTTCGAAATACTCCTTGAACTGTTCCAGGTCCCGCTCAACGCCAACGTTCGGCAGGTCAGGCATCATGTGAGCGACCACTTTGAAGCCGGCGTCTTTCGCCAGATGGAATGATTCTGAGACGGCACGAACAGTATGCCCACGATTTGTATCACGCGCGACATCTTCATAGACTGACTGTACGCCGATTTCAAGCCGTGTACAGCCATATCGTAGCATCTGACTTCAGGAATCCGTGAGTGAACTACACACACGAGATCCTAAGACATTAACGCACCTTAGATGAGGTCTCAGGCAGTAGTCTGGTCGTGTTTCAATGGTGATACCGATGGCCTTTGATTTACTCTGTTCGGAATATCTGCGATACAGTTGATTAGCCTTGAATAAGTGCTTCTATATGACTAGTGCATACCTCACTGCCTCATCGACGTTAAAACCTGTGAAGCCTGATAGAGCATTGTGTAGTTGAGCTACAAATTTATTGCGATATTCCTCTGGCATGCTCATGAAGGTTCCGCCCATAATAATGAATTCAACCTGTTTGGTCAGCTTTCAGTAAACACACATGCTCATAGGAGGATGTTAATTAGTCCGAACCTTGTCTACGCTGTGACCCAAGCTTTTAAGCTGCTCTACTCGCCCACGGGTCTGCTCGAACGGATCATAGCGCGCTCGAATGGCTCGCATACTGGTCGGCTCATAGCCTGTATAGCTCTGTGTGCTATAGTCGAAATCGGAATCTGGACCTCCTGGACAGTACCTAGGGAAAGTCAGCAACAGCGCACCGATGCGACTCTACAACACATACACGCATATGTTTCCTGTCATAGCGATATGCGGGCATCGGTGTGGTTTGCACATCACCGCTACGACTGCGATCTAGCTTTTGGTCAGTGCACTCGACGATCATGCAGTATATGACATTACCCCACTAGCTGTCCGGATTGGACGGGCCTTTAGTTTAGGGAGCAATGCTTTTTTGTAGTCGTCAGGAATGGCACTGATAATGTCCACCAGCCTCGGAACGCCCCCAAATCCATACTTTTTGCTCATTTTTGCCCGAAGCTCATTCAACGAAACGGTAAGATTGCCATCGTGGGCCTTGATCAGTTCCGCGGCGATGGCAGATGTTACGCGCAAGAGTTGCTCCGCCTGCGAAGGCCCTAGCGATATCTCTTCAGATTCAGATGTAGCAAGAACATGACCCAAACCAACCCTGGGTCTTCGTCCTTTGCACCATAATACAGAGCTTCTAAGTTATCCAGACGTGATGGGTGTCCGACTAAAGCCTCTCTTTCACGGCTGGTATTGCACTGGAATGGTTCGTGATTGATGGAGGAAGATTAGAAGAAGAGAGTCAAATGTAGCAACTAGCTTCAGCGTTGAATGTTAAGTCTCCGAAACAAGGCGCGGGCAGATAGTCGAGCAAGCCTGAGCCCCGTTCCGCCACATCGGAGTTGAGCTCGTCTCGATCACTGCTCGGCGGTAGAACACAGGAGTCTGTCTTCGGCGCCCATGCCTGCCAATGCCTCCTCCTTCCTCCGCTAACTCATGGCTGATTGCTCGCCGGTTTGGTGTAGTTATTGACGCAGGTTCGTCAGGCTCCAGACTTCAAATCTACAGCTGGAAAGATGCACGTGTCGTCGACGGAGGTCGTGCACTCAACGCGCTTCCCAAGGTAGAAAAGGGCACGCAGGACAGTGAGGAATGGTCTATGAAGACTGAACCCGGTGAGATATGAACACGCTGAAAGCTATGGCATCATTTTATAATGCTGGTCTGTCGCAGGTATCTCGTCTTTTGCAGACAATCCCGACGGTGTAGCCCCATATCTAGCCCCATTAATCGAACATGCGCGAGCTCATATACCCCCTTCTGTGCAACCCGATACTCCGATATTTCTACTGGCCACCGCTGGAATGCGTCTTTTATCCTCGAAACAGCAAGCCGACATACTCCAGGTCACTTGCAATTTCCTCCGCTCGCAATCCAATTTTCGGCTTGATAGTGCGTCCGCTGCTGGGCCCTGCGGATCGAGTGTGCGCATAATTACTGGAGAAGAGGAAGGTTTATTTGGGTGGATAGCAGTCAACTATCTTATGGATGGTTTTACTGGGTCTTCCGAGGACCGTTTAACTTATGGGTTTCTAGACATGGGCGGTGCCTCTACTCAAATTGCTTTCGAACCTAGCCACAAAGAACAGGACAAGTCAGAAAACCTCATTGACATCAGACTACGTCTCCTAAATGGCCGCGAAGTTCATCACAAAGTCTTTGTTACCACATGGTTGGGCTATGGCACAAATCAGGCCCGCGAGCGATATGTAGGCGCTACTGTTGACACACACGAAGCTCATCGCCTACCACCAGTCTCTTCGGCAGAAGAGGTCGTTCTTGACCCATGCCTTCCAAAGAACTTGAGGCTGCCTGTGTCTCCATTGGATACATTCAGTTCACATCCCAAGACTCCGTATATTCTTTTAGGAACTGGATCCTTTGAACAATGCCTACAGCAGACATTGCCTCTTCTCAACAAAAACGCACCGTGCCCTGATACCCACTGCCTATTCAACGGCGTCTACGTGCCTCCGATAGATTTTTCGGCATCGCATTTCATTGGCATTTCTGAGTATTGGTACTCCTCAGAGCATGTTTTTGGTCTGGGGGGTGCGTACGACGTCATACAATATGAACGTGCCGCTTCCGAATTCTGTGCTCGAGACTGGACCGACATCCTCAAGCAGCACGAAGTGTCACGACAACAGGGCCGATTGGGGGGAGACGGTCAGGTGGAACAGGATGGTCAGGTAGTAAACACTGGTGTATGGGGCCCACAGGTCGAAATCGCTAGGCTGCAACTTCAGTGTTTCAAAGCTGCTTGGATCGTCAATGTCTTGCACGAGGGTATCGGCATGCCTCGTATCGTTGATCCGGGAGGAAATAGCACAGGGCACGACAATAAAGCAGAAGCGCAGGCACAGCGCATGGGGCTTGGTCGACCAACGTTTCAGTCCATCGACAGTGTTGGGGATGTTTCTGTGAGTTGGACGCTGGGGAAAATGGTTTTGGAAGCTAGCAAGGAGGTGGCACCCTTGTCTACTGAAGATCGGCCGCTCGTAGATCCCCTGGACGATCAACCCAGTGGGACAAGTGTCATAAAACCTGTGCGACCGCCATTCTTTGACTTCGCCTCCATTGAGGATCGTATATCGGGTCATCTACCGTCGTCTATATCCAGACAATCTCTCGGATTTTCTCCTGTTGCGTTCTTTTTCTACAGTTCTCTGTGCATTATTCTCCTGTTCTTGTACAGGATGAGGCACCGCCTCCGAAGCACACTCCGTAGATACAGGCGGGATCATGATTTTGGGTATGAAAGCTATAGCTTGGAAGACGGAACTCGTAGCCCCTCGCCCTGGTCATCCTCCCCAAATCGACTATCATTCGACCCGATTTTTCGACCGATCAAACATCTGTCCACTACCTTAGGGTCGCGTCCACCCCGATTACCACCAGTTCAGGCAAGAAGTTACGCCCCTTCTTTGCGCAGGACTCGCAATTCTCCTACCCGGTCGTTTTCGTATCCCTTGGCCAAATCACCGAACGGACTCTCCACATCCGACACTATTAATGGTACGGCGACGGCATTTGTACCTGGGTCCCCTCGTCTTTCCGATGGGAACATTGTGTCCAACGGCAGCCTCTCCTCACTGACCTCCCGTTCTCGTAATTCGTCACAGGTGAACCTTTCATCCATAGGACCTCGACAGATGACTTCTCGGACAAGTAGCGGTTCACATGCACCTATCGGTAGTTTATTCCTAGAGGAATGACATTCTCCCGTGACATTTTATGTATGTTTTAGAAGGTCACCGAATCGAGGACTACTTTCGGCGAACTCTTTTCAGGCTGGGTGACGTGAGACGGAGCGCACACAGACAGAGGCACCCCGTGTATCATGCATACAATTCGCGGTCATCCGAGGACGCGCGGGATCAATCTACTGAAAAAGTTGAGTGTTCCCTGGTGTCTATCATTTCCGTATCGAGATTGAATAAGGACGGCTGACCGAAGGCAGTGCGTAATTGTTCTGGGATATACCGTACTACATTCAATGTGTTGACCATGTGCCATGCGATGGCCGTCTCAACTCCATCCCTGCCGTGGTGACAAAGAGATGCGCCGCAGATGGCATGATCCGTCCGAGCATGTACATTGACGACGACGACGACGACTTCCGGGTCAATGTTGCATATGCTCGTTGCTCGTCCGGCTGCTGTTCAAAATTCTGGTGCGTGGGACGTCACGGACACAACGGGCCTATGGAAGAGCGAACGAGCCCTGACGACGCACTTATTACCGGCCCCTACTATGGCTAGATTTCGTACACTCTGAAGCAAGCGATTGACATCGCGAAGGTGGAGATAGGAGGGCCGGCTAAAGCCAGCACTATGCAATCTCCGTCGCGGACAAGTGGCGTATTTGATTAAATTGTGTGCACATGCATCATGGACACGAAATCTTGTACCGACACTCAGGATGCATGCCTGCAATGGGCTGGCATTATCGATGGTCTCTCATTTCATATGCTGATACATGGAATCATCATGATTGATGAATTCGCGCGATACAGTAGGTAGTCATGTAGCTTGACCGTTCAGGTGATAACAATTCGCGTATATTATAGGCTCATGCAAAGTTTGACGCTTTGTTCAGACACAGATTATATGGGGTGGATGTATGGTCGAGTCAGTCTGTCAACGTTCACCTCATATTATTCCGAAGATCCAATATGGATTGATAGACAATACGTCAGTACAGAGCATGGTATGTACACACGATTACACAGGAAAGCACGACGATGTCCAAGACTAATCCAAGGTAAATAACTACCGCCTCCGTAAGCGCAAGCGTGTAGTTGTCATCGTCGCGGAAAACGCGTGCGGGGCGATTCTGTTGCGCTTCTTCCGTTTGGTCGACGGCAGCATCTCGTTTCGAGCAACTTCCCTGAGCCGAATAATGTCGTGAACCCAATAGGTTTCGTCAGCCTTGGTAATAGCAAGGTCATGGAGACGTTGCTCTTGCTCCGGCGAGAGTAGATGCATCAACGTGCGCGCACCAGCTCGCCACAATAATAACTGGAGAGCGGCTACATACAATAGGATGTTCTGACAATACTACGGATTCAAACCAGTTAGTCATCGCTTATTGGAAGAAGAGTTCATCGTACCGTTAGTTTGTCTACCTCTGAGAGGTGTAGAAATGACAACTGCGAGCGGCGTTGTTGGTTCTCATCGAAAGAAGGCTCATCCTCAGCACGCACATCCAAGTTTCCATCCGTTTCGGCGATCTGCGGGTAATCAGAGCTCGTGTAATTACATAGATGCATAAGACATGCCTTCACAAACTGTAACTGCTCATCTGGTGACGAACCACCTGAGGTACGTAACGCAGTAGTGTCGCATGTTCCCTGATAGATGCTGAGAAAATGTTGAGCTCCGACAGAAGAAGCCCCACCTTGATATCGGCTCTGCCCTCCGGTACAGCCGAAGATATGGCATCCGGCTTAGGATGTATGTCCTAAAAAGGGCGCAACACTTATTAAACGCCAACGAAAATTTTTAAGAGGACTTACATCTTCAGCGTCAGCGTCAGGAGCAAGGAACGAAGACGGCGGTGGTTCTGCCTGGGAGGATGGCCCATTGAGCTAACGGGGAGAACAGTGTCAATTTGACAAATCGATGGACGGCAAGGAGCAGGCAAATTTGAATCTACCTCTGTATCGGATGTGTCTGCCTGTGATATGGGAATGAGAGGATCGTGCATCTCTTCGTCAGCCGCAGCGGGCTAAACCATCCCAAACTAGGTGTCATTCGGGACGTCGTATCTTGGACATCATGACCATAGACTTACCTGATCAGCACGCTCCGCATGGGCATCTCCCACGGACAACACCGTGGCATTCACATTATCATGGCTTACGAATATTCCAAGCTCTTCTCTACGCGCCCTCCTGAACGCCCAACTGGTGACGAGATCCAGTAGCTCTTCCACTTCGGCATGCTGCAATGGCCCATACGAATAGCCCGACTCACAAACCTTCTGCCTCGCAGTACCTCCTCGCATGAATGCAGTATGTCTGTCTTTCACTGGCGTGTATTCCCCATCCATAGCTGCAGCAAGCACGGGCTTCATGTAGTTGAACTGTGTTGCTAAGGGGAGAGCTATTGAGAAATCTAGAGGGCTGAGAACACTAGGCGGACTCGCGGAACGTAATGCTGCTGCATCCATAGAAGATACTTCTAGGATTCGTCCGCGGCTGTCCATATCGATAAGACCTGCTGGCTCGTCTTGGTCGTCATCTAAGCCATAATTATATTTATCCTCTCCTAGCTATGATGCGAAGTGGATTAACGAAACTCTACATAAAATAGTGCAATAATTCTCACCTGACACGTCTTAAAACCTTCGGATTCTGTGGTGAAAAACATGTCAGGTTCCAGAGCCTTTATTTTGCCGTCAAAGAATATCGCCTTATATTTTGGTTTCTGATTTGACTGTGTGGGTTGGATATATTCGAGCAGTTTTGCCGGCCAATATTCTGACCGACCCCGTCGCTCCTTTGCGAGGACAAGCTCGCCGGGCACCTCGAGCAACGGGTCGCATGGAGGAGGCTTCCACGGTTTCATCCGCGGTTCGATAGGTATTTCTGTGTCTGAAATAGACGTCTTTCCGGGCTTGGTTGATTTCGTGCTTGGTGCGTGAGTAGAGTCTGCCCCATTATATGTAGAGAGAAGCATCGGGAGACCGTCGTTGTCATCTTCATCGGCCTTTAGCATTAGATCTCGCGCATCGGCCCACCTTGTCTTAAGGTCGATTTTTGGCCTCTTTCTCGGGGACTCCTGTGTGCTGCTCATATTCCTAGAAAGGCGAAAATTGTCCTCGCTGAACCGTAGCCTACCATGATGCACCATGGAAAGGATAATTGCAGAAGTGGGAGAATGAATAACATGTCCTTCTCTCGATAAGTCTTTTGACTGGCCAGGGACTTGCCCAAATAACACCACCCGTAACAAAGGGTCTTGGTGGACTACCTTGTGGGATATCAGACTGCAATATCAAATGAATAGTAATGATTACCTTTGCGGGCCACCAGAAAGTATCATCGGTAGAGTCCTCGACAACTTTTCCGTATTGGTCAACTCTAACCCAGACATAAGTACCTAGAGATTCAAGTTTCCACGTTGCGTCCTCTCCATCAACACGTGAAGTGGACGGAGCGCTTGGGCTAGGAGACGACAGGGGTGTGAGGATACTCTCCGCGGAATCCTCTGGCGATAGGCTCTTGGATGGTGCTCGAGACAGCCGTCGTTTTCTCCCAGCAAGGACAGATTCCGTAGTTCGCGTTAATTTCTGCACACCCGATTTAATACGGAGCTGGGCAATGGGTTCCTACAGAAACAGAGCAGTTAGCAGCCATCTAGTGTTGACATGTTTGGCCACGCACGACGAACTCAACTTCTGATTCTGATTCAGCATCTGTTAATGGCGACAGCGTGCTCGCTGGTGTAGATCTGTGTTTCGCTGCAGATTTCGGAGTGGGTGAGGGAGGA